GCCCGCCCGGGGTGTGAGCCGATGGGAGGGCCGAGCAGCAATTCATCATGATTTGTTTCAATTGTCCGGCGATGGCAAAGTTATAATCCTGTATAATTTCACGAACAAGCAGGTTGAGAATGAATGGGTCGATATTATTTAAAACAAAACACACGAGAGCACGACCTTTCCCTTCAACGACGTGTTGCAGCACGAAGTCGCAGGAAACTCGGGGCTAACCTCTCAACCCCCGCGCTCCGCGGGGTTGCGGTTATTTGGGCTGCTCTTTGTTTCTCTTCATGTCTGAAAGGGGGATTTGGAAATAGAAATGTAATATTACATGAAGGATCTCCCCGCTGAAGGGAGAAGGTGAGCGCAAGGGGCGGCAAAGGGGACAGATTGTTTTGAACAGGAGCAGTTTGTTTGCAAACTGGCTTTTCTTTTCCTTTTTTTCTTTTTTTACCCCCACCCCCTCTTCTTTAATGTAATAAAAGCTTCCTTCACAGCGGGAGAAATTTATGCTCGAGATACAGCAACTTTGTGGCTGGTAATTCTCGAGGCCAACGATGTCAAATAATCCATTTTCTCGGGGCTGCGGGGGGGAATAAAGGGATCCTGCTGCACGGAAGGCAGCGTGTGCAAGCCCCGCGTTTCTCTAGCATGCAACGTTGGCGCGAGGGATTTTTTTTTTTTTTTTACGTGAAAAAAAATGCCAGCATTTATTTGTATTGCAATAAAAAGTACTGCCCTGTGTTTCCAGAGAACGAGATCCAGTGTCAACGATCAGTCAATCACTGCAGACCAGTTACCGGTGCGCAGCTTGGCTCAGTAAATAAAAATCCAGACAAAACTGTATGCTGTATATTTTACTCCCATGAAATAAAACACATTTTTTTCATGTTTGCTGAAAAGTAAAACAATAATATTGTACGAAATGTTATACACAGGGCATGTTTTACATTGCAATATCAGAAACATCATTGCATCCACCAGAGGTACTATTCTAAAACTGATATTCACACAATGTTTTTTTTTTAATAATTATATGTTAGAAACATACAGTGTCGCATTTAGTATATACATTCCCTTGCTCGCAAGCGAAAAAATCCTAATCGCTTCTGTGTAACATGCTTTATTTTAAAGCCTAACCTTTTAAAAACACTGTTGTGATATTACTAACAACTGCTTTTATAAAATTAATTTGACATTTCGATATATATACATCCTTTCAGTCATTTTTATGTTAACAATGCTAAACTTAAAAAATAACAAGCTTATAGTAACATTAAAATGTCATATCATATCCAGTCAAACATTTGTCCATATATATATATATATATATATGTCCTTGTAACTGTTGAAATACTCTTGGTGAAAGAAAGATCTCAGAATCTGTAGGAGGTCCTTTGAAAACAAAGGAACTATCTTATTTCAGTGGTTTCCTCTACAATGCTAAACTTAAAAAATAACAAGCTTATAGTAACATTAAAATGTCATATCATATCCAGTCAAACATTTGTCCATATATATATATATATATATATGTCCTTGTAACTGTTGAAATACTCTTGGTGAAAGAAAGATCTCAGAATCTGTAGGAGGTCCTTTGAAAACAAAGGAACTATCTTATTTCAGTGGTTTCCTCTTTTTTTCCTCTCTCTCTCTGTCTCTTCCTCTCTCTTTCTCTGCCTCTCTCTGATTTTTCCTCCTTTCTCTTTCTCTCTAGTGCCCATTACTTTCTAGTGTAATTCTCAGTCTCTGCGGGAAATGGGGAGGGATTCCCATGCAGTGTTTCCTACTCGGGTGTCTCACACGGGTCTGTCCACCGCGTACTGGCAAGCGCTCAGGTTGGAAGCGGGGTTCTGCACGCTGGCATAGCCAAAACTGGAGTGCTGCTTGGCTTTAAGTCTCAGACTCGCCAAGCTCGAGTTACATGTGTCCCTATAAACATACGGAGGTGTTGGAGGAGCATAAGGACAGGCTGGCGTTGGCACTGCAGAATTCAGGGAGGGATTGCTCAGGTTGTTCAAGTTATTCAGGCTGTTGAGGCTGGAGCCGGGGACCCCGGTGACTGCAGAGGGTACCATGCTTGAAGACATACTCATGGAGGAGATGGAGTTTGGAGGGGAGAACATGCTCTGAGAAGACAGAGGGTTGACATTCATGGAGTTGAAGAAAGGAAAGCTTTTGGTGGAGAGGGAAGCGGAGGTCAGGCCCTTGGCTGCCCAGTTGTTGTACGAGTAGCCGGGGTACATGTCATCGTAGGGCTGCATGAGGCCGTTAAACTGTGGACCGAAGCCGTTTTTGCAAAGCTCGGCTTGCTGGTTCCTCTCTCTCTTTCTCCATTTGGCTCTGCGGTTCTTGAACCAAACCTTTGGAAACGGGGGGAGAGGGAGGGAGGGAGATGCGAGACGCGAGTTAGTCAGGA